ATTCAGCATCAGTAAGTTTCGCCTCGCTGATGTGAGCAATGTCATTTCTGACTTGACGAAGATCATCAACGTCTTTCTTGATGGCTGCACTCAGAGTTGTTCCAATGCTATCCGAGTACAGAATCGCGAAAAACAAACAACTACAGTCCCATTCTGCCGTGTTACCGTTCTGTATAGTCGCCAGATATCGCTTATTCTTCGAATGGCTTTTTCGAGACTCCTTATTATAAAAGTCGAAACCATTCTTTGTCGTGTCTTTCCATTCTCCAAGCGTTGTTTTGTACAGGAAATCCCATTCTTGCTTGAGGAGTTTTCGTAGTCCTTCGCGAACCAAGTTAAAAGCGACGTAACAAATTCGGAAATAGTTCAATTGCTCTGGAGTATACTCCATTGGCATAACATTAGGTTCTGGTTACGAAGATTTATGTAGAGGAGAGAAAGGTCTGTTTATTCTAGAGACGTATTCTCCGGCTGTCTGGACGAACTTGACAAGTTTTCTCAGAGCTGTTGTTTATGCCTATCAGTATAAAGACGACAGAAGACGAATAATTCATGGAGGCGGTCTTTATCTTGTTCAGTACAACTTTTTAAAAATGCTAAACTGAGCGTTTAAGGGCCCAGTAACAGGCTTAAACTGATCTTTTTAAGCCGTTGCAAAAGAAAATGTATTCTCATATAACTCTGCCATTTTTAGTTAGTTCTGACTTATTTCATGTGTTTTGACTTTTTCATGATCAGTAACACCAGTGATGACGTGGTGAGGCCACGCCCATGGTCATGCGATTAATTCTGAAAAAAATGTCAAGACTCCCAAGCATATTACTTTACCGGGATTTTTTTCAATTATTTAACATTTTAACTTTAATCCTACGCTATGCATAGATTTTGTTTCATTGCGGAAAGGTCAGATTTTTTAGAGAGTTTCAAAATATGAAAAATTTATAATTTTCTGAAAAGGTATGGTTTTACAAAGGGAATGCATAGCTATGTTTCCAACATTGGCTTAAATCGTAAGTCGATGAAAAGAGCTGGATTTTAATGAAAAACCGCATTCCTTGACAGAGATGGTTTTTCTTTTTGTTTTGCGCTTGTTTCTCTCTGTTTCTCTCTGTTTTTCTCTTTGTTTTTGGCTGTACTTCTTTGCTTTGGCATTTTGTGAAACAATGAAAAAACATCTAAAACGTAACCGAATTTTCAAGTTGTTGAATTGTTTAATTTTCCGTGCTGATGCTGTTGCAAGTAACCGGAAGTGAAATTTCACCCCCTTAGTAGTAGTCGTGATATGAAAAAGCTTCACCAATGTAGTGTTTTGGTATTAACTGTATTTATCTCCGAAATACCTATGACGTGTTAAGGTTTATGTACATGCTGCAATTGAAATTTATTCCGTGTTCAAAATTTTCCTACGCGATTTGACTTTTTATTTTCCGCCGTTACGGATTATGGTAATGAATATATATGACAAGGCAAAAAAAAAAAAGTAAACTAGTTTGAACAATTTTGATACGAACGATGAATTCGTCAGGTGAACCAAGCAACTTCGTGCTCTGAAATTAAGAAACACATCCATTCACGTCATATTCTATACAAATGATTCGTTCCAAACCAAGCATAAAGTTAGGTGCTTTTCCTTATTGCGTGTGTTTCAAATTTGCAGCTAATAATTAGGGCCTCCACAGACCAGACATTTAGTTGTCGTCAGCTTTTTGTTACCGACAACTAAATGTTACTGACAGTCAACTAATTGTGTCCGATGCGAGAATTCCACACATTGGAGTGTCAGTTGTCGATAACTAAGTCAGACAAGCGAGAGCTTGGGAAATAGCGTTCACTACGCATGTTCAAAACCCAATACGCATGCTCAAATGTGTGTCATGTTTCGATAGTTGTCCCAATCTCGTTCCCAGAGTCTTCGTTCCCCTTGACCAGCGGTCGGAAAACGAGAGCTCTGGGAGCAACCATTTCAGGCATGCGCCATAGATGCAGACTGCGCAGTGAAACCGGATGGGCAGATTCACCAGAATTCGGTTATTTCAAAATGGTTGCTCCCAGAGCTCTCGTTTTCCGGCCGCTGGTCAAGGGGAACGAAGACTCTGGGAACGAGATTGTAGTTGTCCACAACTAAACCAATGATTTCCACACACGGGAAAAAGCGGTCAAAACGTCGTTGTCAACAAACAAATAGTTGTCGACTACTAAAGTAGGTTCCCTTCGAAAAGGGAAACTGCTTAGTTGTCGACAACTCATCTCACACACTACGTTTTTTAGTCGTCAATAACAAATAGTTGTCGGCAACTAAGAGTCTGATCTAGTCTGTGGAGGCCCTAAACAGATGTTTCCACTGAAGTAAATACTGTCTTATTAATCCTCGTTTATACCAATCTTTTAAATTAAGATGACACGAAAATTGAGACTCAAAACATTCGCCCAGGCATATAAGGATTGACATATCAATTCTCTTTACCAATTAGAAATGCATCTTTCAGTTTCTTTCCATGTCAGTTCTGAGAATTTCTTGAGAGCCTTAGCAAACCACGACGGCGACGCCAAAGAGAACGTCACCAAAAAAGCGTATGAACAGAACAATTGCTCTGTACGTGCGTTTTTAATCTTGATACATTTCTCACCTGTCATCTGTAGAACAACAACGTGAAATGATCAACTTCTGTTCAGTTTGAAGAGCATAACCTCAACGGCTAATTTTGCATATCTTCCTTTGGAAGTGTACGCTGTCATTACATATTTAGCTTGAGAACGTTGTTGGACTTAAAGGCGCACTGAACAGATCTACACAGTTGAGACATTCGAAGGTAAAATATAAATCCAATTTTTACAAGGCGTTGTCCTCGGCGTCACCGTTGTCATTCACCGGCTAAAGCAATTTAGGGTTACATCAAAACAATATCTCCAATTTGAGATTTAAGCAATAGAGCACTTTTTCCGGGTGAGAGCGCGCGCAGTAGCAAAGTTATTTTATAAAAGTTTCTTTATTATTGTTACCAGTTTGCTTGACAATACGCTGATTTGGCAACAAGAAACAATGTCTTCACGCTTCTTGGAAACCAAACATTTTTTATAGAACAACGAAAATGCTAAATACCTGAAATATTTGATTGGTATTGTTGATTTTCTCCCTGTTATTTCTGCGAACGATTAAAATCTGCAATGAGAATTACAATGAACATTCAGTTTAAAATATTTACGTTAATACAACCTCCTAAATCACACTTTGGAGAAGTAAATTCTCAGACCTCTTTAAGTCGCTTTAAGTATTTAACACAAACAGCGGAGGAACGACCATTTATTTAGGCATTCGAAATGCAAATCTGTTACCACATTGTTAAGTAAATGACTGAGTTTCTACCTTGTGATGTTTTGCCTCAAGTTCAGCATCAAGCAATTGCTATTTCGTCTTCTTCTTCCTTACCAAACACCTGTGAATCAATTTGAAAGTCACAACGTCACATCAAAGGAAAGTGAAAGTGCTAATGCGACAATTTATTAAACTCATGAGTGACTCGCTCTTCATTCCTCAGTTAACTTTAAACTGGTCACGTTTAAATCGTTTTAGAATTGGCACCTCTTAAGAGAGAAAAAATTTGAGGCCATATTGTAGTATAGCATATTTTATTTTTGTAACTTATGTTTTCGAAGATATTAGCTCTGCAGCTACTCTGTACATTTCGAGCATAAATAAGGTATATGTATGTATGTATGTATGTATGTATGTACGCCCACAAAACAGTATCTTCGTTCTTTTCAAAATTTCCAACGAGCACCCCCGTCCACTTTATAGCGGAGCTCCTGCGCAGCGAACGTGCGCGAGCAGAGCAAAATTGGTAACCCATCGATCTAAAACATTTTGGTTGTCACGTGACGTACATCTGTACGTAGGTCCGTTCGCGAGGCCCCATATCTGAGAGAGCACCACTACCATAGGTGCACACACATGTATAGTGAGGGTTCTGGCGCAGCACTCACGCACACAGTGCAAGCGTAACGCAACTCCTCATCTGAAGATTCGGAGTTGCGTTACACTTGCACTGTGTGCGTTCGCTTGCGACCAGAACCCTCACTATACATGTGTGTGTGTGTGTGTAACGCAACAGCAGTTGTCGAAAGTGCACCCAATACTAGGAGCGCATTTTTCGA